TTCAATACAGGAGCGCCTGGTCAGATCTGAACACATACCTCCAAAAGAGTCTTCCTTAAAGATAATTTATACAAGCAAAGGAACTGAATTGAAGGGAGGTCAAATCCAAAACTTATGCGCTGCTGAGGAGTTAGAGACCCAGAAAGTGACGCTTGAACTCAGCGTGCGAAAACGATGCATTCAACCTCTCATCCTTCATTGGCCCTAATTCCCTTCTGCATTATGTTTTGGTCTTGTTTGGTTATTATTATTTTGTAATTTTGAACCATAATCAGTTATTAATACCCTTTAACATTTTATCATGATTATTATTCAATTGTTATTATAACCTTTACGTTTTCATTTTCTTCATACTTGTCATGTGGACCATTATCTCATATAACTTTGACCCGTAAATTATCTTCATCCTCCTATTTTTCTCTAACTTCCTGATTATAACGCAATCCATTTTGATATTTTTAAATATTGAATCCCCTTATGATGTATTCTTTTCTGTCTTTCGATTGACTTATCTATTTACCAAACGACTATAAATACGAGTGTACACCTCAAGTAGATAATTCTATCGAAAAGAAACTTCTATTCGCTGAATTTTCTTGATTTTTAGTTAAATCGATTAATACTTGAGAAATACTATGCCGAATCTAAGTGTAATGTAAATGTCTAATAATTTCGTGATTTAAGTGTGAACTTACACTTGTGGAGTATGTGATTACACATGATAGAAGATTTTCATTGATACACTCACTGTAGTATTAGTACTAGTATAAGTATAACAGTCGTAGTAGTAGTAGTACTGTGGTGTGTGCTACTGATTTCGACAGATAAAGTTAGTATATATCACCATTCGAAATTGGAATGCTTAGCGGCAGAAGGTTGAGAATTCGAAGAGAACAATGACAGAGAGCGGTTGGTACGGAAGCGAAGGAACAATCAAGTCTGAGACAATTGATGGATATTTTGCAAATGAAGTATTTACTGTATGGTTCTCAGATTTTACCAAGAGATCCTGTAATATTTGCATTCAAATACACTCGGTTGTCCCCACTGTTGTTCTCGTTTATAACATTATAGGTAGTCATAATAGTAGTAGTCGTGGTCAGTGACGTGACAGATCTTAAAGTGTTTTAGCTAGCCTACAAGTTCAAGTTTTTGAAACAATATATGAAAGAGTATGTCTATGAAGTTTAAGTTGGACATCACACATTTGTTCGGGCTATTTTCTGAAAAAATAAATTGTATACTGCAAAACCAGAGATAAGCGAATATCATATTCTTAGGACCACATTTACCTAATACTCGATATATACAGAATCTTCGATAATAATTAAACTAAGTGTTAGTCAGTTCTTACTTTTTATTAAATTACTGGACTTTTCAATCAACTGAAACACTTGTTCAGTTGTACTATGAATAAATGCTGTAATCTCTGTTAGGCTTGTGGTATTGAGTAAAATTTTTCATTATGATGCTTATCACTACTAGTAGTAGGTCAATTTTTATAGTTTGAATACCTGTATCAAATGAAAATTGTATGGGAAATTCCAGAAATATCATATAACTGTGAGATTATCAAAGTTAAAATGAAAGTTTCATGAAAACTGAATTTAATCAGTTATTCTGTTTCTATTTAACAATTATATATTGTTTAAATCTCTATTCAATCCTGACAAAACTATACAAAGATAGAGAAAGAAACAAGTAAACAATGATAAAGATTTTATTAAAATGTCGTTAATAGAAACCAACTGATTCAACATTCATGAACAATTGTTTCAGACATATCAAACAGTGGATTATATTCATAATGCCTTAGGGTTAACATGTGTTAATCAAGTGTTTTTAATACACGATATTTAGAATCTGAAGTTGAAGTGAAAAAATATTGATTTTCAGCTTAATTTCATAATGAATTATGACTATCTGTTAAGAAATTGGAAATTAATACAAGTTAACATTCTTCTTAGGTGTTACGAATAAAACATATAGTTTTGGCTTTTATCAACTATGTTTGACAAGTATTTTACTGTTAAGTATCTGAGGTAGAACCGATTTTTTTTATTATTCTTCATTGTGAACTAGTAATCAATCTAGAAAAAAGGTTCATTAATTGAAATATCTATTTTGTTCTCTAAAAGTTTTACACGAATTCAACTGACTAACACTTAGTTAAAGCATATTTGTAAATACAATTAATTCATATACCTATAGCATATATATGATTTAAAAATGGTATATCTTTCTTATTAATTAATTGTGGGTACAGAAATTGGATAGTTATTCAGATGTAATAATCGAAAAAACTGTTCTATCTGGTAAGTTTGAAATGATTTGTAATCAGTGAATGCTTTGATTTACTGATGGTGTTCGTGATTGCAATCATTGGAGTGTCATTTTGTATCATTCGTCAATATATCTAGCCGCGTTAAATCCGGTGTTGTATTAGTATTCACTCAATTAGTCTTAGTTTTGGACCCTAACTTATACGAGTTAATTAATTCATTAGTATTCAGAAAAGGGTTATTGTGAATATAATAGTAATTCTAATAGCTGGATTCATGAGTCAATTAAAGCTAGACCACCATGGAAAACCTGGAAACTCTGAGTGGCCTTTCAGTCCTATTGTGGGACTCCTCAGCAGTTAAAATTACTATAATATCCACGAAAACCCTTCTCTGGTTATAATCATCATATACTCACTAGTGACGGTCTCCAAAAGGTATTTCCTGGAGTTATATTAAGAATTTGTGATCTGTGGAGTTCAACCGGGTCTGGTGTGAGATAGCAAATCACTGATGATAATGGTGGATGTGTTGCTCAATTTCATGGATTGATTGAGGTTAGACGTTAACACCGTTGGATGCCGTTTCAGTGGTCTAATGGTTAAATGCTAGCTCGCGAGACTGATAAGTTCGGGGTTTAAATCCCACTTGGGGCGACGCCGTGGATACGCATGGCTGGGGAGTCCCATACCAGGACGAAACGACCGTTCAGTGCTTCCGCTTTTTTCATGGTAGTATAGCTTCAATTGACTCATGAATTCAACTATTGAATAATACTAAAATCTGTCATTTTGAAGGTTTTAATGAATGTCATTTTTATAATGAAATAACATTTGATGAGAAATCGCTAAAATTTTCAAGTTTATTAAACAGTTATCCCCTTTCAGTTTGAGATTTTTTAACAGTGCATACCTTATCATTTGAGTTTAATAAGTTCACACTAACTGGATGGAAATTTTCTCAACTAATTTATTGTAAAGTTATTAGTTTATATTTGTGATAAAAACTTAGATTTTTGGTAACTTCACATTCATTTAATCATTTATACTGTTTATTCAATCTATCGTCCATTCCACTATCATTTTAATCTTGTTGTAAAATCATTATTCATTCCTTTTCCCTTTTTATTAAAACCAAAAAAAACAATGTATATCTTTCAACCTTTAATTTTTGACAGTTGTCATTAAATCCATATCGACAACTTCCCGACTTTTGATATTTTGCCTTATACTCCTTTACTTAACAACTGTTTATAATGATTATTTTCACTGTAATTCTATCATTTCTTCTATTATTCACAGTTACCAATCTAGTTTATACATAGTGATCCAATCATTCAATATGATCAATATATTTTACAAATTCAATTTTAAATATATAAGAAATTTAAATTAAAATTCTTCTTTAATTGTAAATTCATATTCTTCTATTTAAAACAACATTTGTTTTTAATTTCTATTATACCTACTGTGGGAGAGAACAAACCAGATCCCGGCGGAGGAAGAAATCAGGAAGAAGCGCTGGAAGTGGATAGGACACACATTGAAGAAAGCACACAACTGCATCACAAGACAAGCCCTCACATGGAATCCTCAAGGCCAAAGGAAAAGAGGAAGACCAAAGAACACATTACGCCGGGAAGTGGAGATAGACATGAGTAAAATGAACAAGAATTGGATAGGATTAGAAAAGAAGGCCCAGGACAGAGTGGGTTGGAGAATGCTGGTCGGTGGCCTATGCTCCATTGGGAGTAACAGGCGTAAGTAAAGTAAGTAATTTTTATTACATAATCCAAAAGTAAGGGAAAAAATGACGAAAAGGAATTAGAAATAAGAATGAATAAGTATGGTAAATTGATGCTTCGTATTTACCTAAGTGTTATTCTCTTCTTTTATTCTTTTTAATGAAGTTTTAAGCTTTACTAAAAGTTTCATTATAATGAGTTATTATAGTTGAATGATGTGTGAAGTTAAATACATTTGGAAATGGCTTTCATGGACAATGGATATCTGTAGAAGATCCATCGAAAACTAGTCATCAGATAATCATTACGGATGATATTAACTTATTGTTAAATTATATTGGTAACTGTATGATGTAAGAAATATGAGTAGTTGGGTTTTGATTGACAGAACATAAATAAATCTATTGTATTATTGAAACTTTATGGAGGCTTGGTTTTGATGTTATGTGAAGATACAAGTGTGAGCTATCATGAAATTGTAAACTCAAACGAAATGAATAACCAACACTTCCTGGTTCTCATTGGCAATCCATCTGTTGTAAATCCATGACTACAGTTATCTATAAAAATTATTGTAATTCAATACTGATGTTTGTTCAACTTTCATCTTATATTTATAATAACAGATAAAAGTATATCTTACAAATTCCCGTTTGTTCAGTTATAAACGGTGATATATTTCTAAAATTTATCATCAAAATATTCATCAACTTATTCATTTTTGGTGGTTTCTTTCAAGTCTTGATCAGTATGAAGGAAATCATCTAACCTCAAACTACTATTGGTTAGAGAATAACTGAAAACTATGGAGTATTATACATTTTTTGTATCCTATCGAGAATATCACAACTGGTACGTAACAGCTATAACATCTTTCTGAGTTATAAATGATTTCTTAGTTAATATTATACATTGATAAAGATTAACTTCAAATAAATTGAATTGGTAAAATATAATTATGACTGTTATCTTACCTTTCCATTATCTCCAATATCCTCATCTACAGCATGAATTTGACCAACTTCTGTATCAGGTGGACTATTTTCTGGTATAGAGAAAAAGTATAAATCTGTAAAATGTGGTGTGTGGTCATTTTCATCTAAAATTTGAATTTTGATTTCAGCTGAAGCTGTATGTGCATTCACACCTGAATCGGATACATAAACAGTGAATGTACGTTCAGGCTCCAATTCTCTGTCAAATACAGTATTAACTCGAATTTCACCAGTATTAGACTGTATACTAATCCAATTTACATCAGCTTCGTCAATCCAAAAGCGTAACCGCGCATTTTCACCTATATCGGCGTCTGTAACATTTAATCGACCAATAACTCTTCCAGGTGATGCATTTTCTGGACACGTTAATGCAAGTTTATCGGATGCTATAACCGGTGGGTTATCATTCTCGTCCATTACTTCAATGTCTAGTCGATATGTAAACACTAGTGGTTTTACTGTATCATGATCTCGACAAGTTAGTAGAACTTGATGTCGAGCAGTAGTCTCTCTGTCTAAGCGTTGTGCGGAGATGAGCTGATATGTAGCAGATCCAGATAAAGCTTCTATTACATTTGGTACATTAAAGCCAGGTTTCATTGTATCTGGACTGGTAGAATCATATACGTTTTCATAAGGCAACCTTGATGTTGATGGTTCTGTTACCAAGCGAAAGTATTCATTGGTAATTGTGCAGGCTACAACTCCACCGTCACCAGTATCAGGATCGCTAACATGAATACTGGCGACTGGTTGACCAGGTAGTTGATTTTCCCATATTCCAAAAACAGATGTCACATGATTATTTTCAATCAAGTTAGGAAAAAAGCCTCCACTGGATAATATTGGAGCTAGAGGAGTTGCAATAATGGTAGGAGGCACATCGTTTACATCCAAAACTCTAATTACAAGCATCGCTCTAGCTGAAAGCTGACGACCATTTCGTGGATTATCGTGTACCATTACTGGGATATCAATTTCTGGACCATTTATTTGCATAGAAATTGTTTCATAATCTAGTTGAGTTCTCAATCTTACTTCACCAGTATTTGGTTGAACTGATAAATAATCTGCTCCAACCAATCCACCAGGTGCACTTGTATCAATTAAATATTGAAGGCGTGCATTTTCACCTGTATCAGCATCACGTGCTTGAAGCCAGAAAATCAGAGCACCTATCTGAGTGTTTTCTGGTACAGATACAAGAAATCTCGGATAGTCATTTTCTATTTCTAAATTAATTTCTTGTTCATAGTTTAAAGTTTGTACATCATTTAATGGTTTTTGTTTCAACCACCTAGGTGAATTATCATTCACGTCAGCTACATGTACACGGAAACCAATTTGACTTGAACGTGGATTTTGTTTGTTTCCATCTAAAGCAATCAAAGTAACGTCATAAGCTGGGACAATTTCACGATCTAATTGATTTTTTAAACTGAATGTTGCACCTTCTCTAGTCAGTATTACTTCAAATGGTTTACTTAATAAGTCAGGTATTAAAAAATTTGTTTGTTGTAATTTTGTTGACTGATCAGATGATAAATTTGGTAACGGAATAACAGTTAAATTAACTGATTCCAAAGAATTTGAACCAATATCAGGATCAGATATTCTAAAATAGTGTAGAACACTTCCAACTGGTGTATCTTCCATAACATTTAAATCAATCGAATGTGATGGAAACTGGGGTGTATGATCATTGATATCTTCTAAATGTATATAGAGGTAAATTAAAGCTGCTCGATTGGTTTTATCTTGTTGATGCGAATTGACAAAAATGTCATTATTTTGATTCGTTTCACTGTCAGGCTGTAAACTGATGTGTACAACTAAATAACATTGCTGACTTGGATTATTTTCTGGTGATCTAAGTTTCCAGTCAGATTCACTTGAAATTGGAGGTGGTATACTACCAGACCTTGTATTACAACAGAATTGAGCTTTTAAACTTGAACATAATGCTTCTCGATCTAGTCGAGTAGCAACAGTCACTTTACCAGTTTTTGATCCTACACGAAATAAATAACTATCAAATGCATTCAACAATCTATATCGATATGAACCACTGTTATACATTACAAGAGCATTCTGATCAGTTAAAAAACTACTTATTTTGGGATGTTTATTCAAATCTAGAACAAGGCTGCCAGGTGTTAATTCTTCTGGTATACTTACATATAATCGTGTTATTGGTAGACCACTGAAGTTAATCATGGATGATGTTGATCTGCTCAAACGATTCGATGTTGTATTTTCAGTAGTTTGCATTTCAACATTGCCCCAAATAATTACAAGGAGAAGATGTACGCAGAAACTGTCTTGTAATAGAAATTTGGGCATATTTTATTTAACAAATCCGAAGAACGACTAAATAAACATTCTACATCGATGCATATAACTCAAATTTCGTTTGTTTTTGAAGTCATTGTTGATTGTTTACACATCTATAAGATAATAATGATAATAATAATAATAAAACTATTTGAAATAAGTCTTGGAAAAATAAGATATAATCAATGAAGATATAAATTAGCACATTTCACTTAATGTTTTCCGTAATATTATTTCTATAAAAGAGAAAACATTACAGATTTTTAGTTCTAGTTTAGTCTAATAAGTTTAGTCTAAGTTTAGTCTAATAAGCTATGAGACTTACAGTGAATTTCTACTGAAACGTTTTTATCAGTAGGATCACCGGGTAAGTAATAGTGAGGTTAGATGTAGGGTATTAGGGAATGATGGTAAATCAGTTGATGAAGTTGTTAATCTTCATCGACTGAGATGGTTGGGCCACGTGTTTCGTATGCCCGAACACCAATTACCACGACGCGCAATAGTGACTAGTGTTGGGGATGGTTGGAAGAAAGTTAGGGGCGGCCAAACCAAAACATGGCATCAGTCCTTGAAGTCACTAACTCCTATTCTTAGCCATGTTGGTAGATGCAGACTACTTGGTTAGGGTCCACGCAACTATCGTAATCAGTGGATGGAGTCTGTGAGTAACATGGCTTAGAATTGATCACACTGGCGTAGGTGTATATACTTTCTGTCTTCCCTTAAACTAAGAGATTAAAATCGCTTCATATCTTTCTTTCTACGAACTTATTCTTTCTCCCTGTACTATATCCTTATATGCGATCTTTCTTTTATATATTACCACCATTGAATTAACTACTTCTATGAATCTGGTGTTCATCTTGCTGTGCTAATGGCAACTTGGACCGATGCATATATGTGCCTGGTCCTACGTTGTAGCTGACTGACTGATTAATAAATGGAACCATATTACTTTTGTTCTATATATATTAAGTACTTCTCCCTAATATTCACAAGACGGGTAGATGTAGTTTACAAAATAAATGGTGAAAAAGTTCTGAATGACATTAAAGCAACTGTTGTTTACACATACTATTAACATCCGCCCACACATTGATGAACAATTTTTCACGCTTCTACTTTGTGCACTCATTAAACATGATATCCAATAAAACTAGTGATTTTAAAAGTGATATAATGGGTTATTATTATTATTTTAAGATGGGTAATAAAAGTCAACACTTTGTGCAGTATTATTCTTCTAATGACAATGATTTCTAGTAATCACACTGTCACTAGTTTAATTTCAGCTTCAATCGTGGTTACAGTCAGAGTTATATCTTAATACATTTGGACGACAAAGTATGCACCTAGCTATATTGAGCACATATTTTGATAACACTTGAACGGATCACTATTTTTTCTTAATATTTATGATTACATCGTTAAAATTTATCTTTATAGGTGGAGAGAAAAAGCTACAATTGTTTTTGATGTTAGACGAAATTTCAAAAACTTCCATACCTTTTTGAAGAGCTAATGATGTCATTCAGAAAGACACTAGCATTTCTACAATCAAATCATCATGCTCTGAAAATACAAAACTTTAGAAATATTTGTACGAAGCCATACATTTTCTGCATCATATCAGGTATAAACGACAGGACCGTAAGGAACTACCTATTGAATTAACCAATAGATTATTTCAAGACTTATGTCAATTCAGTTAGTAGTATGATAAAGGTATTTTTTACTAAATATTCCAAGTAGTTTATTAATATGTTTACTTGTTATATGTAATATTCTTAGATGAAAATGATTGATTTTTATAACTTGACCAGTGAATAAATCTGTTTGACTAGTTTATTTATAATGTGATGGGATAGTGTTTGACAAAACATGTTAAATAGTTAGGAACAATTTTCGTTTTACATGTTTATTTTTCTAAGACAAATTTATCATATATTTTTTTAAAATAATGAAAGTAGTGACGATGGAACTTCTAGAACTGTCTAGTTAATTCTCAACGATATATTGATTGTTTCAGTTGTATAAGTAAAGATTGAGCAACATGGTCCAAGATACAACACATTTTCCCACCCGTATCCAAAGTTTATTTTATAAAACCTGGAACTCACTGACCTTCCACAGTGTCTATTTCATTTTATTTAAACAGTATTAGATACTTTTCGGTTATCGACACATGATTAATTTATTTTATATTTCTCATTTGAAAGATTGAGGAATTCTAAACATGTCAAGAATTTTTTTTCTTAAATTCCTTGATACTATTGAAAACTGGTTATGAATGACTTCACTTAGAGTTACTTTTTATTTTCAGAGTGTATATGCGTAACGGAATTAGATGGAAGAGGAATGTTTTTACAGATTTTTACGTATGATACGGCTGAATACGGTAACAGTGATACATTCAACTGCCACAGTGAACAATACGAATATCAATCTCAGAAGCCCAAGTTTGTTGACACATCTTACTAATGTGTATCAACAAGCCATACTTCTGTTGGTTAACTTTAAACTTTCAACCTAATTCTGACAGACCACTGAGTAATAACTAATGTCATATTGTTTAATCCTTCTGGCTAACTGAATGCTATTAGGCAGGTTGAAGTTTGACCGGTAGTTATAACTACTTTGGATCCTGGTGAATTGTTTCATATTAGGTGATCTACTAATATAGTTAGGAGGGACTGAACTTTGGTTTTACACTAGTTTTCACCGATTGGTGTGTATTAGTTGTAACTTCCAAACGCGAGTTTCTGATTGATGGCGACTGTATTATTTATATGGAAAATATGATCGTGATAACACTATATTGCATGAAAGCTAAAGCTAGGGCTTTCTTATGATTGTTTTTGACCATCCGACTTAAAACGTTTTCATTATGTTAACACTTTTCACTCATATCCTTTAAACTGAAAATATCTGGACTAAGTTCTCTCATCATTAGGTGTTATACTTTCCCCTTCTTCTTCTTGTTATTATTATTATTCGCATGACTAAACACTTCAAACTTCTACATACTGTTGATTAATTATTAGTAATTTAATAAAAGAAAATGCATAATTGTAAATGCTTATCCATTTTTACACAATTGAGATCATGAGAAAATTGGTATGTTGTCCTAAAATTGAAACCTGATTTAATTCAATAATGAAGTGAATAAATCATAAGTAAACTGATATAAAACTTATACTGTACATGAATCATTTACTATTAAACAACAATGAATAAATAATACAACACAAAAATTAAAATAATACGATATCATAGTACCTTCGAACTAATTAAAACTGAACTGTATGATAATACAGTTGATAAATTGTTCAAGTAAGTTAGTAATTCACATAATTCTATCTGTTTTATAATGATTGATTAGTGTAAATATTTTTGTAAGCAATGATTGATAGCGGCTAGCAGTGGAATCCATGACGCGCGTTTCGTCCTATTTGGGACTCGTCAGCTGGATGTACTTGCATCTCAGAGTTGATGTTCACTCTGGGAATCGAACCCAGTACCATCGCTTCAAACGTCATCGCGTTATCCACTCAGATACTGAGTCCTGAGAGCAACTTGCTTGTGCAGTGAGGTGAATTTTAGTTCACTTGGTATTGTTTGGCTTGTATCTTCCATTGAGGTTTAAGACTGCAATTGATCAGTCTGTTATTGGCATATGTGCATACAGACTGATCATTTGCAGTCTTAAACTTCAATGGGAAGATACAGACCAAACAATACCAAGTGAATTAGTGTAAATATCGTCAATCAATGTGAATGTCTTATGGTTATTCAGATAGTTCATTGAAATAAATTTTGTTATTTTACTTTGCCACAATTTTTTGAGTCAAGCATCGTCGTTATGTATTGAGACTAGAGTGGTCCCTAACTTATACTTCGTTTATTTCGTTACTACCATCTAACAAAAACAAAACATGCTGTTATGAGTGAGGCACATTAAATGTCCTATTTACAAATAATTCGGAAATGGCTCACCTATTATGATCATTTATTCAATTCGATGTCGGGTAGTTGAAGACAATCATTTGGAACCTTAGACAAACATTTATAGAGACTTGGTAGTGAAGTATGTTTGAATTGTTGAGGGAGCGTATTTCTTCTGTGCATTTTGAACAACACTCACATAGTATCAAAGACAGAGACGTTCCCTTTAAGTTATACAAGCTCCAACTGACTTATTTTAGAACTGATATATGATTACTAATTAATCACATAGTAGTAACCAATGCCGTGTTGTATATTCCCTACCTCTGGTAAAAGTTGCCTGAATAGTATAATAGTTCATCAACCACAATCTGAATACCCTAGGGGTAGTGAACTTAAAAGTGGCTATAGATGGCAGAAGTTTAGTTTGGTTGGATAATATAATATTCTTTTACTAATAACTTACTGCCTTCTTATCAATGCTTTTTAACTCGCTCACATCAAGTAAAATACATTGAAATTGCAGTTAACTTTGAATAAGAATTATATTGCGAATTGATGAACAATAAAGATTAGATAATAATGGCTACCAACAAACTATCAGAAAGTTTATTATGGATTAATTATGCAAGTGAAAATGAAAATCTGTGATTAGTAGTTTTATATCTATTATTATTTAGTTTTGTAATACCTTATTATCAAACTAGAGAAGGATATCATTTTACTGCGTTCAATTATAATATCAACATTATTATTATTATCATTACTAGCGGATTAAAAGAATTAGTTGCATTCTATGTACAATCAAGAGCTTAGAAATTGTGATTAATCTGACAGAATATTCTGAAAAAAAATAGTCAAGTTATTCGTGCAAGTAAGTAGTTAATCCTATTATTAGATTTAACCCAATGATCGATAATCCTTATTTCAGGGGGTGTTTTAAACATGGCTTTTCCATACATTTCGAGATTATCTTGCAAGTTTTATTGTTTTAGTATTTTTCTGTCCTTTTAATAACTAAGGAATACAACGAACGGCTGACAGTTATATATATTATTTAACAAGTACTATGATGTGAACTACTGATGTGAAAAGACATAAGTAGTATGTAGCAACAATTAAAAGTGGAATGCTTATTAACAGAAGATTGAAATGAAGAGAAGAG